GTGCAGTATTTATTTATTTACTCTATTTGCATCTGAAATAGAATTGTATTTCTAAAACCGCGATTTTTACTTTATATTTCCAGTTACCTTTTAGCTCCTTAGAGCTCTTTTTTACACGGTGTTGGTAGTTGCGAAATACTGTATCTTTGTCATCAGAATTCCAGCCTTACGCAGTGAGGTACTTCGATTTTCAGTGCAGTGGCGGGCGGTTTTCTGTAAAGTCAACCACACCTGATAAAAATTGACGTTGCAGAAGCCATTTTACTATACAATACATCAAAGGTGCGCTCCATTTTTATGACTAATCTTGTTTCTTCGGGCGGAGGTGACGAACAGCACTGACCGGTTGCTAATGAAAAGGTATCCTCCTGTAAAGAGTTCCATATGAACCAATAGCCCATCAGTTCCCTAAAGTCGTAAAATCTCCGGGCGACTGGACCTAGCGGGAAACCGAAATTTAGTCGCCGGTACTGTATGCGAGAAGTATGCGTGTGTGAACGGCTCCATAAGACGCAATGTACAGATGTATCCGAGATACCAGTCTGCGGGTGACTGTTATCAACGTGTCTTAGGGTTTAAATAAAAAAACCGGGTTAATACAATATTAAATAAATATGATTTCCTTACAATGCATAAACAAAAATTCACACACACAAGATTATAATTCCGTATCTATATATTTAGATTGTGCATTTTTTTCTACCCTATAAAATTCTCTGTACGTACGGAGGCTCGTTAGAGCTTTATTGGTGAGCCTGCGTAAATTCTGGGTGGGATTTGGAGGAATGCGAGAGATTAAGGAGTCCAACGACGACAAATCTACCCACGTTTCATTTTGTTTTCTCCAAACAACAGTTCACGTTATAAGGCAAATAGTAACAACAAATTTATGCAGTAGGAGGGAACCCCTTTGAACGAATATACGGTTTTTTTCAGATACCAAAAGTTGTTGTTGGGACATTACCCACAACGCATATACGTAAATGCTACGCTGAAAAAATCGGTATGTATTTCCAAAAGGAGTTGAGTATCTAGTGATGAAGGATTATACTATGGTAACGTCTACGAACGCTAAAAATAAAAATATGAAAAAGTTGCTTTTATATAAGGATACACTCCTCTATCTTCCAATGGAAATAAAGGATCACAATCTTCATAGTCCATTTCAAAATAATGGATGAAACTAGCCTCCATTCCTTAGCTTTACTATGTAAAATGGTTATGCATTTCGACTAAAAGCACTTCAGACACACCACAATTCTGTTGAAAGCGAACTCCGATAATGAATAACGAAAGTGGAACTGCCAACAAAAATTCGAACGTCAATGCAATATTAAACAAAAACCTTTGGCCAAATCGTCGTGCATCCTGGAAAAATGCCATGGACAATGAAATGGCTTCCTTGATGGAAAATAGCACATGGGAATTAGTAAAATTACCCACAGGTGGTAAAGCAATTGCTTGTAAGTGGGTTTATAAATTAAAATTAAATCCAGACGGAAGTATTTTAAAATACAAGGCAAGATTGGTCGCAAAAGGATACAATCAAAAGAAAGGTATTGATTACAATAATACTTTCAGTCCAGTTGCAAAGTTGCAAACTATTCGTTTGATACTTGGTATTGCTGCAACAGAGAAAATGCATTTGGCCCAATTTTATGTCTCAACTGCATTTTTATATGGAGAGCTGGAGGAAAAGATCTTTATGAAACAGCCAGATGGATACGATGATGAGTCTGGTAGAGTCTGCCTACTCAAAAGGAGTTTATATGGACTAAAGCAGTCGCCTAGATGTTGGAATCATCGTATTGGAAAATATTTACAAAAATTACAGTTTAGAGCCAGTAAAGAAGAACCATGTATGTTTGTTAAAGAGAAAAATGGTGCTAAGATAGTTTTAGCATTATATGTAGATGATGGTCTTATTGCTGCTACTCATAAAGAAGATCTTGAAGAATTTATCCACCAACTTAGAACAGAGTTCAAGATTACCTCAAATGAAGCAACATATTTCTTGGGTCTTGAAATTGAAAAATCGCAGAATGGAAATATCAAGATTAGCCAGAAATCGTATGCTCAGAAACTACTTGAGCGTTTTAATTTTGTTGAATGCAAGTCAGTTTCTACACCAATGCTTTCAAGTTCAGGAAGTTCGAATTCAGGGAAAGCATCAGAAAAAGAAGTCATATTTCCATATCGACAGGTCGTTGGTGCGATCATGTACCTTATGTTAGGCTCGAGACCAGATTTAGCCTACAGTGTGGGATTTTTATCCAGGTCATTAGAAAACCCTACTATTGATGATGTCGCGAGAGCTAAAAGAGTCCTTAGGTATATAGCTGGGACTATTGATCTTGGTATAGTATATCAAAGTAACGCTAAGAAGGGAGCGTTCGAATGCTACAGTGATGCTGATTTCGGTGGTTGTAGTAAAACAGGTCGTTCAACATCAGGAGTACTGGTCAAATATGCCAATGGAGCTGTTTCTTGGATTAGTCAGCGACAAGGTTCCGTAACAGAATCTACAGCTGAAGCAGAAATCGTAGCTGCAAGTGAAGCCGCAAAGGAAGTTATTTGGCTTACTCGACTTTTGCAAGAAATTACATTTTTAAAGGAAATTCCAGTTATCCAGATTGACAACGCAGCAGCCGTTAGACTTTCTGAGAATCCCGAAAATCATCGCAGAACCAAGCACATTCAAAGGAAACACTTCTTTATTCGTGAGCATGTTAGTGAAGGCACTTTGGTTGTAGAAAAGGTTTCATTATATAATTCAACGTTAAACTTTGAAAATGATATTATTGATTACAAGATTGAGCGTTATTACATGTGACAGTTACGGTAACAATTCTAATCTTTCTAAACTATGAAATACGCCGCCTATTATTTTTTATCTAACACTAACTTTAACTGACTTTAACATTTGTGTGTGCTATGCCAGATTTTTTTTGTTGCTGGTTCCCTTTTTCCATGACTTTCGGTTTATTAGCTCCCTTCCCGATGGTGTCTCACGTCCCAACACATAAAAATAACCGCCATAATATGACACAACGTAGGAGCCGATTTGTAACACTCTGTCCGAGCCGATTGCTACCGAAATTTAAAGGTGTGGCGAAACGTCCAACATTTCGACATGAAGATGATTCTGATTGTAATTTTTCCCCAGAGTTGGCATCTGTAAGTCAAGATTGCAGGTCCGGCTTGCGGGTCTGTTAGTGATTCATTCCTCTCAAAATGTGAACCGCCAATGATTATCCAGCACCTTTCTACTTTGATACTGCACGCATTATTTTCGCGCTGACTTATGAGTGCCATCCTTCCATCGTAAATATCAATCATCGTAATGGAATTAATTTAAAAAATCGTACTTGAATTTGGAGATGAGCTTCCTGCAAATCGAAATTTTGCAGACAAGGGGTGTTAAAAAAGGCATATTGCTTTTTCGTTAATTTGAGTACCACTTTCGACGCGCTCTTTTCTATACACTTTGCTTGGGATTTTTGTCGAAAATGACCGCTTGGTTGGATTATAACATGGAGGCTAGGCTAGACAGGAGTGCCTTCTGAGTCCCTTAGTATTTTTTTAAAATGATTTTATTGGTGGGGGGGGGGGGTAGACATCAGAAGGGGTGGGGGGAGAATAAATGAACAGATTGATTACAATGGGGAGGCAATAGAAATTGTTAATAAATGTAAATATTGAGGTGTTACTTTCACTCCAAAGCTGACAATGGCTACTCAGATGGAGAGAGGAGTAGGAAGTAGAGGAGATTGCCGCTGTCACCCAAGGTAGGAATCTTTACCGGGGTTGTTAGGGCGATCGTGTGCTACACCCTGCACAAGTATGAGGGTGAGGATTACAGTAGCACCAGGCAGTGGAAGGGGTAAAGAGGTTTTTTTATAAAAAGAATGATGGCCGTCCCGAAGTACTGCTCGAACTACATGCTTCACTTGAGCGCATATTTCTATATTGTATCTGGTATACTGGGGTACGAAGATCACAGATAGCTAACGTTTCTGCTGAGAGAGATGATGAGGGCTTGGTGTGGATAGAGCAATGATTGGGAGGGTTTGGTTGTGGAAGTATAAGGCGAGTGACTGGAGGCTAGGGCTCAGCTGAATGGGGATGTTGAACCAAATTATTGATAGAGTGCGAGTGGGAATCGGGGAGGAGGATGAAAGGAGAGCTATGGAGTCGTCCTTATGTAATCACTATGGTGAACTCGTTGTGGGCGGGGGATATTTAGGGTGTATGAGAAATGGAATACGTTTACGGATAGTGGCTGTTTAAGTTATTCAGGGGCGGGGTACTAGATTTGAATGACAGACCAGGTAGAAAGGATGACAGAAAGCTCTGTTCAATGTGCAACCTTGGAGCGAGGGAGGACATCCTGTACTTTATAGGGTGGTGTCTTGTTCTTTCTAGAATTAGAAAAAAAATGGTTTGGGGAACGAGAAACAATAGAAAAACAAGAGTTGTGGTAGAGTCTCCTTGCACCAGTAATTACTGGAGCACATTTATTAATTAATTAAATATGTATTAATATTAATATTTATCGGGTTATGTATGATAATTAATGTTTGTTGTAATTCTCTTCTTGTAGTCGTATTGTCATTTCATTTTCATTTTTGTGTAAAACATAATTTAGTTACCATGCGAATATTGTTACGAAACTTTCATAAGATAAATGTTGAAAATACATTTACAAAAAAGGTTTTTTTTGTAATGAAAATTCTAAACATACCTTAATGAAGAATGGAAGTATTGTGTGCGTTTGTATCCCACTTGGTTTGACTCAATAATTCACCACCATTTCCCAAAATGAAGGGATAAGGTTGTAAGAGATAAAGGAAGAAAGTTTCTACCCTGAAGGAATTCTTCTAAAGCATCAACCTGAATTTAACAAACAATTTATTACTAATAATTATAGGTACATTAATTTGTAGTACATGATATTCCCACCGATATTTTACATTCAACGTACCATACAATTGTTTACAAAATAGGCCCTTTTCAGATTGTCTTTTAAAATGTTAATCTAATAATTGTTTGCTCTGTACAAAGTTTTAGCCTATTTCTTTACAAACATCAAAATATATCCGATCGATAATTATATAATAATAACTAGAATAAAAACAACAATAACATCTGTTATATAATAACAAAGCACGAAATTTCGTATAAAATGAAATTAAATTAACGTTGTATATATACAGCTCTAGGGCTTGAGCACATTTAATTTGAAAGGAAGACGTTCACGTAAAAAGTCAAATTAAATTCTCTTCAATAGGTATTTGATCAACATTCAACAACTATTTATTTATACAAAGCATTTTTTGTCTTTAATAATAAATCTCTCCCTTTAATATTAATCCAACCGTCATTCCTTTAACAAATATAATTTATTTGTATTACAAAGTAATCACATGCCGTATATCACACACCAGAGTTTCTAAAACTGAAAATAGCAGTACTCCTAAATGCAGCTGAGCTTTTATAAACATCTATGTGTATTATTATCACAGAACGATAAAAATGTGGCAAATCACGTTTTAGGCTCAATGACTCAATACATTGAGGCAATTAGTGCTACTTTTGGTTTCGCTATTACAAAATGTTGTTGCTACTCTTGCTATGAGGTTAGTCTTGAACGTTATTGCTAGAGAGATCTTCGTTACAAATGTTTTTTAAATGAGCAATGCAGGTTTATTGGGGGCGTTTGAGATAAAATTACCTTTAAACTATCGCCATATAAAAGCTTTTGATCAGGATATAAATTAGTCGTTGCTTTTGATAATAAACGAAAGGTCGTAGTGAACACAAGATTACTGATTTAGTGCAGGAATCGCCCCACATTTGCTACCCTTAAGATGGCACACTAGTAGTTCTAATAGAATATCAAAAGCAGTCACTATGTCAGCGGTTGTATTAGGCGGATATTTACACGTACTCATTCAAGAGATTTGTGCTGACGTGATGAAAATGAAGGAAGAAGTTAAGCAGCTGTCTGATACCAGGGGCGTACCGTGGGTAAATGGCGCCTATGGCAAACACTCCGACCGTCCATCGATAGAGGGTCGGGACTTTTTTTTTTATTTAACATAAAAGTGTTACTCATAAGTAATCATGTCCCACTCTCAATGTCTTTTAATATACATTTTTATCTCCATAAAAGCGCGCCCCACTTGATGCCATACCCTAGTTACACCTCTGCCTGATACCTACAATATACGGGTGAAAGGTTGACGAACAAAAAGTTACGAGACGGATACACTGAAACTAAAGCTTAATCTGAGCTTTTTTCAACTAAGCTATTGCGAACGCATTTAATTTTCACTTCTTTGATTAGAAACGTAAAATATCCGCCTAATACGGTATCATATACAACATAAAAAACATGCAGAACACAATCTTGGTCTCTCTTATATAGGTATTGCTTTTTTATGAACATTTTGCTTCTACAGTTGTTCATCTCTGTACGTGGGCTTATCCTCGGGCTAGAGATATCGGGGTGGATTCTTCCAACAGCCGAAGCAGCAGGGCAGCGTGCAGAGCAATGTGTCCTTAAACGCTTCTCTAAAGTCTCGATTAAAGTAGGCATATATCAAAGGGTTGAGAGCGGAATTAAAGTAGCCTATCCAGAATAGCATTCCAACGACGATATCCGGAGTTGGACAGTCCACCTCGCCGCACACCGTCGACGTTACATACCTGACAACAAAACAATGGTATTAGTGAAATTTAATTACGTCGCCCCTGTGTGCCAAACCCAACTGTGCATTTAAATTTTAATACGGCCATAATTTCCGCATTATCTTAATATTGACTGCGTCGATTCGCTTTAAACTTTTAATCTAATTCTATCAACTCTATTAACGTGATAACTAATACTATAATCTGAGATTAAGGGACTAATCTATGCCGCGAGTTCATGAGTGCCTTTCCTAAGAACAACGTTTCGCCATTAGTAGATCGGTGCTAGGATCTACAAACCGCCGATGGCCAACTAAATGAAAACCATTACCCACACACACACACTCTAGATTAAGGTTTAAAAATTCGTTTTCATGTAATTCCAGCGGCCTGACTGACGAAAATTGACCTATCAACTTTGTTTGCGTTATGAAAAATTAACCACCGCCATATTCTTTGAAACGTTGTGAAAATGAAAGGTTTTAAATGAGTACGGTTTTTAATTAAATATCAGGAGTAGGTATACCGCCCAACTTTGATCAAGCGATACCGTAACGTATTTCACTAAGAAAAATATGCGCTTATCCCAAAGTAGGTCACAGGGTGCTTCTTTAACATTATGTTTCTGCCTCGGTTTCTGTAAACCACCACATTTTATGCGAGAATGTTGTTTGATGTTACAATCAGAAGTTTCTTGTATTTTCCCGTATTATTAATTTGTATGGTGCCGAAATTAAGTTTTTGTTTAAATGCCAACACGCTGGGGGTAGGTAATCAACTTCACAATACATGATTTTCTTGTACTTTTTTTAGGGCCACTTGGGTTGTTAAATTTGAACGTAATTTAAAAGGAAATTTTATTAAATTCGTCCCTTCATTTCATTTCTGGAATAAAAAAATGCGCCAGAGCGTCATTACCAATTGTATGCCTAGGTACATATACGACACGATTTAGCTCTAACACTATAGATATTATAAAATGATTACTCCACCTCGCCATGGAACGAAGTTTTTCGAACGATCGTATATCTATAACGTTGCGAACATCCGAACAACTCTGCCGACGAATATTTAGATACGGGGAATGATTTCATTTAGAAATCAATTATTAAAAATTATACTGTGTGAGGGAACATTTTCGAATTGGAGACGCGGTTGTCTAATAAAAACGGAATTCAATGTGTTTAATTTAAAAACTCCAGAGACACACACAGCGGGACATTGGCGTTTTATTCCAGCGCGTACTATTTTCGCGAAATTGGAACCATCGGTATACGTATGGACATTTTTGTTTACCAGGTTACCAGGGTGGTACCAAAAGTCAACGATTTTGTTGAAAGTAACTTCCTGAAGAAATCGACCTATCAGTATTATTTGTTTTTTTTTTTCATTCATTGATACGATACGAATCAGATCCAAGCTAAGGGTTTTTCTCATCGAACCCCCTTGCGACCACAGTTTTACAACTATTTAGGTTGCATTGGGTTGAATTTTAAATAACCGTAAAAAATGAATATCTATTGCTAATATGTCTTAGATTTTATCTTGCTGTAAGGATTCTATTCTCCTTTCGTAACATCGTATTTATGCCGGGAGACCTTTTAATGGGAGTGTGTGTGTTTTTTTTTCACATTTTTAGATAATGTACATTGGGAGAGATAAGCGGTGGTTCTGTTAGAGAAGGTTTCTTCCATAATGTTGTTGTTTTCCGAGTTTTACAAGTCAATAGTTTCCGAATGAATTTGGCGATCTATAATTGTATAAGTTACTGGCGCGAGTCGGCTAGGCGATAATACTATCTTAATGGGGTTTACGAGACCAAAACAACACAATCAGGACCCGAAAACGTCAACTGCGTGGTACAATATATAGTAATTTTTCGGGCGGTGCGCGGCTAACGGTGGTACGCGATTTCTACAATTAGTAAGTTATTTAGTTGATAATAATTTTGAGCGGAAAGTTGTATACTTTGAGTGGGTGAATGAATAAACAAATTCGCGGAGATAGCCTAAGGGATTACCTGCGAAAAAGTGTAACGAAGCACCCGCTTTCCCCTCTAAAGTTTCATACCCGAAGTTATGACCACACCGTATATTTTTGTAAAGTCGACCAGCTTTGCTGAACACCCGGTATATAGAAGCGTTTTAAGTTGGCCGCTTCGTTACTAGATAGTTGATGCATTTACTCATTTGTTCTATAGGGCACGAGGAAGGAGGTTTCTGTGTCTTCATTTTGTTTAATTGTTTGTTTTACCGTTGGAATATTTAAATTGATTTTTCAGCTGCCGAAAGCGGAAGACGGCAAATTAATATTTTAGAATTTCAAACATGATAAGCCATTATTAGCAGGCTTTGTTTTCTATGGCAAATTTAAAGCGAGCACTGTAACGGCAAGTTCGTCTAACTTCCGTAGATAGCAGGTGATATCGATGATCGATCTCGCTGTTTGACCTGCGAATTCCAATTAACAATAGGTGGCAATTGGGATACCGAATTTGGAGATTTCATTCCGACTAATTAGTTACAGTATAATTAAGGATTGACCTTTAAATTAGTTACAGAAAAACCCGTCCAATTGAGCTGAGCCTTACCTCAAAAGAAGCGCTCTTAAACAACTTGAAGTCTGACATCGATCCCATATTTTTCCGATATCGGGGAAAAGAGTAATTAATTAAAAACGGTTTAATTTGGTTGAACGTATAACGCACTATGAAATTGGATCTTTTGCTTTTGGTGTTTAATCGCATAGTAAGTAAATATTTTCACTTTTGAATTTTTGCCTATTATATTTGTAAGTGCCGTATTAATCGTTGTCATTGCCGTTAATTTATTTTGCATCAGTACAGTAAACCGTTTCATTTTCGCTTTTGCATTAAGTTACCGCACCGTATTCAATAATAAGTGTGCCATTTGAATAAAACGATCGGTGACTTGCCCACCCTGAAATGTAACCCCCTGCTGCAACATCAAATAAAGCTTTTGGTAAATTGTATTCATCTGTATAAAAAAATTACATTCGGGTTTGCCGTTTTAAAGATATAGAGATTTCAATAAATAATCTTAATTCGAACTTGAATTGTTATTATTATCTTATTTACCTTTTAATTATTTGTTCTGTAATACAACTAGCGATCAAAAAGATAATACGTACTCATGATTTTTTTAAAAGAAGGACGCCAAGGATGGAAGACTGTGAAGTGTGTTGTTATACGCAGTATAATAAATACAATTAATTAATACCAGCACAGTCCACAATTAGTACTACGTTTGCCAATAATCTTTTGTGTACACAACATCGTGAACAATACTGATCTGTGAACTGGAATCCAAATAACGGAGGAAGGAATATTCCCTGATTTTCAAATGTGAGTTTCCTTACACCTTCAGTACAATCTAATGTAGTAATAAATTTCTATATTTGCTTTACAGCAGCTCTTTGATGAAGTATTCATCTAAATAAATGCAGAGTAAAGAGGAACCCCCAAGTTTAATTTTGTGAACACTTGGTTTAACTCACGCGTTTATGTACCATAGTGTTTGATGTCGGAAATTTTCCAAACGTCTTTTAACCAGTGAACCTCAAAGCTTTTAAAACAGCTTAGACATTTGGCATTTACTTACAAATTTGCGAAATAGCTCTGTATGCGCAATGAGATTTCTATTCCGGTTCATCCAACGGTGCGCATTTAAATCGAATGCCCCCCCCCCCCCGCAATCATCATTGCTAGTGTGAAGACTGCAAAGCTCTTAAATGTGTCAGAACTTTTACGGATTAAAGGTGGCGTGGTAACTTAAACTCTGCATTCACGTAGGAAATCAATTTCATATCCAAAATTTTAAATTGGCGTGGGAAACAAAAAGGGCTTAGATTAAGTGCTTTTCAATCAAACTTAACCGTACATCTTTTATGGCCAACATTTTGAAGTTCTATGTATCTTACAAGAGTGTTGTTTTAAAGATTGTTTACTTGAGTATACAGAGGATGGCCGTTTGGCACCACCACTATTGTAATTTTGTGTTATCCCTATCGCCCGTAATTATAAAGTTGGCGTGGAGCCAAATACTTATCGTGTGTGAATACAGTCTCTGAAATAAATGAAATAAATATATTAAATAATGGATTAGTCGATTGGTTTTCTAAATTGCACTCTTTTTGATGTAATCCTCTTTTCGTAAGGGTGTTCCCTAAGGTGTTCCAAATTTGAGATATGACGAAATAAATCGTTAGAATTTTCGAGTTAATATTGAAGGTAAATGTCAAAATAAAGTGGAAAGTCCCTAAGAAATAAAAAATAAAACACATTTTTGTTTTGTATTTATTGCGGAGCCAGACCTACCATACAGAAGCGATTTGTTTTCATATTTCTAAAGGGAGCATCATTTTCCAAGGAGAAATAAGATCAATTTATTGAAACCTGAAAAGAATATCCACGTCAATTACTCTAAGTTATTTTAGGAATTTGCATATTAATTTTGTTTGAGGCAATTTTGATATTCCTAAAGGAATCGACCTATGAGTAGTATTTCCATGAAACACATTTTGTATTGTATTTTTGATAATAACCAAATCCAAACAAAGGATTGGGGTAATTTTGTTCCATTGAACAATTTTTAAATTAAATTTCATTCCTTTGGTTGAATTAAAATTTTGTTTAACGTTCAGAAGTGTGTGTATGTCTTGTACAGAAGAATGGACCAGTAAATCATTATGTGGAAAAGATAAAATACTTAGATAAGTATCAAATTTAGCAAGTATACCTGAAATACCTGAAAATATGTAATTCAATACAATATCGTAAAAGACAGAATGCTCAAAATACGCTCAAGAAACAAAAAAACCTCCCTAGAAGAAAACATACTTTACGTACCGTCGTACCGAAGACGGATAATCCCCAAAATATGCTCCAAAATAGGAGCACCGAATAATTTTAGCTTTTTGATGTAGAGGATGAATTGAGACGACGGATTTTGTAAAAGATTCGTGAGATATACGTTAATCTCGCCCAAATATTTGTACGA